GTTGTTCATTTGCATTAAATTTTGTTATACCCATAAGATTCTTCTTAAATTGTCTTTATTAAAAATGTTTAAAAAAGTAATATAACTAAAAGATCATATATTAAAATAAAGATATTTTAGAAAAAATATGTTAAATAATTTAAAAATATTAAATTTATTTATATTTAAAAAAAATGCACAATTTTTTGCTTATAAGAGAAAACAGAAAGAGTAGTTAATTACTCGATAATGTAAAGACTCTCGTGGATGGCGATTAACCTTTTCTAATTAATCTCAATTTTTATCCAATCAAACTTTAATTCTTGTGTAGGCTTAATTCTATTTTTTATCCTTAATTATTGTTTATATCATTATATGTGATTTTATTCTCGAAATTTTTACTCACATTAATTGTCTTTATAGTTTTTAAATTATTCAAATAAAGATTCTCATCTCAAATTTTGGTCTACTAATTAATTGAAATGCAGTGGAGGTTAGATCTATCATCAATTGGTATAAACTTGAAAATGAAAAAAAAATGTATAAAGTAAAATAACGTATAAAATAAAATATAAGGTATCTTTTATTATTGTTTAAATATTTTTATATTTTTTATTTTTGAATATATAAAAATTAATAATATATCACGCCTTTCATTGCACTTTTGTTAATTTAGGTAAGAAAATTGAGACAATTAAAAAATTATGAAAACTAAATTGAAAAATTAAAATTAAAAGACTAAACACACAAATAAATTAAAATATGAGAACTAAAATTATACTCTCTAATCTCTATCTCGTAAAAAATGTAGATTTAAGTTGTTTTACACAGATAAAATAAATTAATAAATAAATAAAATAGAATTATAATTTTATTGAATTAATTTTATAATTAATCTTCAATAGCAACCACGTAATAACAAATCATTTTTTTATATGTAATATTACTAATGATAGACATGAAAATAGGTAATTAACACTTTAATAAAAGTTAACCTCGCACTTATTTTATAAACTTTTTAATGAGACAATTATTATGTATATGATTTATGAGTGGAAGAATTAATTAAAATTAGGTTTCAAAGTTGATTTGTGGACCATAATTCCCCATCTCAAAGGAAAAGCCATCTACAACTCAACTTTCTATGTCGATACTTCCTTGCAAGCCCATCTAATTCTGTGTCCTTTCTTTCATCCCAATCTTTTTGCCTTTCATTATTCTTGTTTTACCTTTTCAGATATTTTATTTACACTTATGAAAGGAAAGATCATGGAAAAGGGCCATACTGTATAATATGTTGTTTTACATAAATGAACAAATATAATTTTTTTTTCTATTTTTTATAATAAATACATATTAATTATCATGAATAATTTAATTAAAAATCAAATGAGATATAAGAATATAGCTAATTACATGCTGATTAATATTATCTTAAAATATGAAAATGACGAATAAATAAATAAAAAAAATTGCAAAAAATTTCACAAATAAAAGAAAACGAGTGTTAATTTCTTATTATAAATACTGAACTAACTACTTCGACTTTAACAAAATATGATTCAATCTTTGATCTTATTTTGAATCGTACTTAACAAAATACTTTATTAAAATACCAAAAACAGAGAGTAGACGTGAGCTTCAAGAATCTCCAGTCTCACAGGTCTTGAGATGCAGATTTGATGCAATGCTCAGATATATAAAATCTGCCATTCAAGATTTTGTTATAATTATCACATGGTATATTATTTTTTTGTGATATATCTATTTATGTTATTAGTATAATATATTTATTGATTTTATCAGCGACTAATTTTCATTGATAAACTTAATTAGTTGATTATTTCTAGTGAAGTCTTTTTACTTAATTATTTTTTTACATAAATTTTAATTATATAAAATAAACATTTATTCTTATATACACATGCTAAAATAATACTAGTAAGATTTGAGTACAATCTATTTTTTTTATTACTAATGATTTTTTTATCATTGGTTATGACACTGATGATAAAACTTGAAATTGTTGGACTATTTTTTTTTTGTTCTCTGTTTATTTATTTGGTTGAATTTATTCCCATTGTTATTAAAATTAAAGTTAAATTTTTTCAATTAAATTTTTAAATCAATGCAATTGGTCTTTCTGTTCAATTAAAAGTGTGGCTTTCAGAATAATCTATGATCTAACTATCAATATTGAATAGACTGTTTAATTTATATATATCTCACTTTATAGTTGACTCTGAACACTAACAAGATTATAAATAGTGCATGAAACAAACACATCCTATACAGGATTCAATTTCTTGTAAGGTCAACAATTATTTAGTAACTTCAACTATTCCAAGGTCTTCTCTTACTATCAACATGATATATGACACAGATATCATCATTCAAGAGAAAATAAGTGCAATGTTTCACCTGAATCTCATATTTACCAAGCTTGTAATTCTTTGTTTCTATATAGGCAGGAACAATTAGTTTTATTATCTCAATAAGACAAAGCAAAAAAAGAAAGCACTCAATCCATACGCATTTTGATGCAAGTCATACCATGCCCTAAATATAATTACACCCTTGAAAAAAAGTGCACCAGTTTCAATCACACATAATATTAGTGATGTCTTCTCAAGCTAGTCCTCAACAGAGTATGGAATAATGAGGCTAAGCTAACAAAATCGCTTCCACTATGCTTATTTGTTCTTTTTGAATGAATGTTGTTAGTGATTTATAAAGGGTGATGAGATTTTTCCGAATAATGCCACTTGAGCAATTATATATATAGAAAATTCTAATTGCACACCTGTAATTTTATACACACTTTTATGTGAAGACCTCTAAGCAATATACTTATATTCATTTTTGTTTTTGACATGAGGGCTAAGAGCCAAAGACTAAAACCCTCTAAAAAAAAAGTTACAGCCGAAAGATCAATGAGTAAAAATATCTGAATTCAAAGAAAAGGGAACTGATAGATATAAACACTTGCAGACAGAAAATGTCTCTTTTTAATCAAATTATTTTCTCAAAAAATATAATTGCACTTCACATGATGATCATCCTTAATAATACTAAATATCCTATTCATTAAAGAATGGCAAGTGTAATGTCTGAAACATCCATTATTTAAGAATTGTACTGTCAACCCAAAATCAGTGAAACTTATATTAAATAACGAGTAATAGATGGTACAGTAAACCAATTGTTAGTCACAGGAATGCAATGTAGGTGATTAGTCCAATTAAGACTTTGAGTGAAAGCTCATCAATAATTTTTATATCCAACATATAATCAAATATAAGTTACTTTATAGTAGTTAAATGGACAATGGATTGGTTAGATGACCAAATAAAAAAAAAAATAGCAAACAACTTGTCGATAATTTGGTTCAGTGACATTTTGTATTATGTTATGAAAAGTAAAAAAGTACTCTCCCTTTTAAGATAAACATTCTAAAACAGAAATTTTTTAATTTTAGGCATTTCCACTCTAAACAATTATAGTGGGGGTATCTCAAACTGATTCTGTCATTTATGCAACCTAAAACTAGAAGACGTGCCCCAATGAAATTTTCCCCTCTGGAATTTTCTTCAGTAGGTGATAGGGATGAAATTAAACAGTGAAAAGATATAGGCTAATTAAACTTGCCAAACATCACCATTAATGGGTCCCCACTCTATGCATGGTTGGTGTAACCGAAGTTGATGTTTCAAGCCACTGACAGCTGATACTTTTGATTTCACAAACATGAATTGAACTCTGACATCAGGATCCAACAGATTATTATTCTTTAGTGTCACTACTCTGCTTTCATCCACTTACCAAATTATTAAGATGAGATTGCACATTCACACGTGGCTTGTCTAAAGACTTTGGCCCTCTTTTATTTTTTTGTTAATTTTGATTATCCCTTTAATAAGAAAATTATAAGTTCTGATACAGAGCTACTACTATGTAATTGAATAATGAACACCAGTTAATCCTAGGTAATGCTTCTCTTGTTTATACGTATGATCCATTACTTGCCATGTGTATCAAGCAACACCGAACTAAAGAACCATTATTAGCAACAAAACGTGGACCCTTCAACAATGAACTCTGTATAATTGACACGGCAATGTGAAAGCAATTGTATGGCGCAGATGGATGTGGTGGATCATCCGTTGTATTCGTGATAATTAATGATACATGTCACAACTATTCAACATTATTTATTTTTGTAATTTTATAATGCTGAAATTTCAACTATAGCACTCAATTTGGATCAGCACCGACTTTTATTTTTCTTGTTTTGATCTGCCAACTACCACTCACTCCTTTTTTTCACATTTCGAGAAATTACGTGGAAAATTGATATATAATTCAATTAGAATGCATTTATTATATCAATTTTATATATATATATATACTTGTGTCAGATGTGGCGAGGTCTTGTCATAGTGTTAATTGTAAGATTGGTGTGAATTATGGATGTGGATATGATATTGTTAATTGTAAGATTGACATGAATTATGGATATGGAAATGATGTTGTAAACTGTATAATTGGTGTGAATTATGATGGATTGAGATATGTATGTGAAATGAAATATGTTAAATGTGAATTGAGATGTGAAGATGATGAATGATTGATATATATATATATATATATATTATCATATAGATCAAGTCACGTGATAAAATTGCTGGTTTTATAATAATTATTTGAAAAATTACAATCAAGGTAATTTCTAATCAAAAAAGAGTATGAAAATTTTGATACCATCATCGTATGTAAAAATTAAGAAGAATATCAACAATACCCTTTTTAACACTTTATTATTGTTTAAATTTTTCGATGTAAATCATATCAAAATTTGTAATTTTACGTAATTTGTTGCCAATATAGTGAAAAATGTCCAAAAAAAAAGTGTTACGTATTATACGTAAATTAAACTTATTAACATAACAAGGGTAAAATACATAATCATATGAGACATATATATTAAAAAAAAAAAAAAAAAAAAAAGCGTCATTTGTAAATTTGACATAGAATTACAAGATAGAATGTTATTATTGAACAAATTGTGATGACATAAAAAGAAGAACGCAGAGAACATAAGTGTGAACACTAATTACCAAGTACAAAATTCTCTATATCGACTTATACCTTACACGTAAAATCTTGATATTGATCATAACTACATATAATAACATAACATCATAAAATAAACCATAAATTTTTTTCCATTGTGTTTAGAAATGATCCGAATGATCGCTATTACCTTTCTTCACAAGCGAATCACCACAAAGCAACCAAGCCAACCAAAAGTGGCGACAACACCGCGGCGGCGAAGCTCCGGCGGCGGCTGAAGGCTCCATTGAAGTTCTCATCGACGGGATACAAGTTCCCGGGGGGCCCGGTTATGTATATGAACGACGATGGTGATGGTGGTGGCGGACAATATTGAGGGGATGGTTTTTTTGGAGATGGTGGCGGCGGCGACGGTGGTGGTATCGCCGGAGGCGGTGGCGATGGATAGTTGGTGCCACATGGTCCACACTTGACTTCAGTGCCGTTGGTGGATGGCACTTGGGTTTCATCAAGTTTCCTTGATCCAACACCGTTGACCGAAGATGTGAAACAAACAAGGGCAAAGACTAGGACCAAGTTTAAGGTCATTGGTAACTTAATTTGATGCCCTTTGATTAGCATGGTGGATTTGGATCCTTGAGAGATTGTGTTGTGTTGTGTTGTGTTGGGTGTGAATTATGGTTTGAGTGTGAGTGTGGGAATGAGAATGAGGTTAATGGATTGGGAAAAGAGAAGGATAGAAGTGGAGGAAAGAGGTGAAGGATTTCTTACGTTAGGTGCATGTGGGAACTATAAAAAAATGAATTGGTAAATTGAGCTTTTGGGTTTAGGATATAGGATGGGTGGTTTTCTAAGGAGTTTGAGGGAGTGAGTGAGGATATTTGAGGCTTTTTTCTATTGTGGACTCTTCTTGCTTTCTTGACTCTTCTAAGTAACTTATGAAATACGGGAACATCAATAGCATGTGGCATGTGGCATGTGGCATGTGTATAGTGTATATACTCTGGCCTCCACCATGCATCATACTATAATATAACTTTTATAATACTTTTGTATGATATAAAACCTTAGTTACACATGTTTTTAATTCTTAACTTTTCTAAATTTAAAATTGATTTTTTAAGTCCTTTATTAAAAAAATGTTTTATCATTCAAAATCACTTAGCAGTATTATTGATAGAAACATGCTGAGTTAATTATGCAACATCTTCTAATTTAATTGATAATATTTTCACTAATAAAAATATTAATAAATTTTGTATTATAATAGATTTAGTGATAAATAAATTTAACGTTATCAATGACATTTGAATAAAGAGAATAAAATACAATTTTTTAAAAGAAAAAAATTATACAAAATAGTAATATTAATTTTAAATTTGAGAGATAAAAAATAAATTTATTAATATTTAAAGGAAAAATATATAAATAATGATAGAAAGAGAATTGTACCTGCCTGAGGGTACACTCGTAATCTTCAGGG